AAAAATTTTTTATTTATGACTGCCCTTTTTTTTAATTTTTATTTACATTTAATTTGATAAAAAATGAATTTTTATCAAATATTCTGATGTTAAAATTTTTGATGTTCATATAGAATATAATATATATTATTTTAAAATTATAAGCAAATGTGGAAGGATACCACCAAAATTAAATAAAATGAAAAAAGTAGGCAATAAATATTGTCCCCGGCGACAGAGAATTACCCAATAATCAGGCTTAAAACAAAAAGATCGAATATAAACAAGACTCTTAAACACAAATGTTTCAAAGTGAAAATAAAAGTATTTAAGCTGAATTTATTAATGTATTATGTTAAATAACAAATCTAGTCCTCTGTAACCCGACTATACCTTTAGGGAATAAAGGTTGTAAAAAATATATATTATGAAAAACATTAATTTTTGCTAAAAAGCATCCTTCTTCAAAGCTCGGTCTATAAAAAGTTATGTCCAAAACGAACACCCTTCTGACCTTATTATGTTACTTCTAAATTTGTTTTTAATCAATTTATTTCCGTTCTACATTTCTGTCATTATTTTAATACTGTAAAATATTTTACTCAAATTTTTCTCTTTGTTATTAAAATTTTTAATTAGTTTAATTAATATTTTTTTTAATAATTAATTTTTTTGATCGTAATGAGGTGTAACATATTGAATTTATTCTATCATATCTTATCTTAATACAGAATGATATTTTAATTTTAAATTTAGATAAATTTTAAAATTATTTTAACCGTTAAATGTTATTTTGGTTTCAAATAGTTTTTTGTTCAACACAAATATTTGATTTTAATTGTTTGGTAGATCTAGAGAATTCATCAAACTACTTAAAAACATTTAAAAATAAAGGATTATGTGAAAATGAAGAGATACAACAAAAAACTCAAGAAATGACTAAAACAGTAAATAAATATTTAGATGAAAATCCATTTGATTCTAATTTTCTAAATGATTTGGCAGATTTTATAGAAGAAAGTTTAAATAGTGGGTATAAAAATGTTGATTATGATTTATGTGATTTTTTGTCATCAATCAATGCAGAGAACAATTTGGTGCCACCCAGTTGCACAAAAAGTACACTTATTACTAATGTATGTAAAAACCAATGTTGTACATTAGAACAATCGATAAATGACACAAAACGTCTCAAAACTTCATTTAGTAGTAGAACTGATACATCAGAATATTCTTACTTACATAGATTTTGGAATAATGATACTAATTTATTATCACAAAAAAATCAAAATGATTTAATACAAGAGCAATATATTTATCCAGAAAACAAAACTTTTTTACAAAAAAATTATAATGATTTGGTTTTATTAGACCATCAAACTAATCAAAAACTGATCAATAATGATATAAATGAACCAAATGCTGTTCAAACAGATGCTTAATTTAATGTTGGTGTTTCGTCTACGATTAATAACCCTGAAAGTAGTTATTTTTTTAATAATGCTTACCAAAATGATAACAACAAAAAAGATAAAAGGAAAAAATTTAAAACTAACAAAGTATCTAATATGCAAATAAATGATAATGAAATTACTTTGAAATCTAAAAGAAAAAATAGTAAAACATTTTTAAATGATCAATTTTCAGCAAATGAGCATAGAATTTTTAAAAGTTACAAAACTTCCGAATTTATATTTAGAAATTTTTGTAAACTTAAATTTGGAACTCGAATGCCTCAATTTATTAAGAAATTTGAAACCTAATCTTTCTGATGGCCTGAAACAAAATTCAATTTTTGCTCTAAGAAATCTTTCAAGTTTTTTAGATACTATAAATGCAATTTATATTAATACAAAGGAAATAAAAAATAAGGATGATTTTTTAAATTCATTAAATGTAGCATGTTATCAATTTAGCAGATATGCAGACGTATCTCAAAAACTTTCAATTTTTAAATCGATTTGTAAAAGTTTACATAAGGTTGGTGTTTGATCTTGTCATATGTCTTGTTGTGATTTTTATAAAGTTAACAGGTTACTATCTAGTATGCACCTCAGATTCAATTCATTATACAGAAGACTATTAGGATTTAAAAATAGTATTGGAAAAAAGATTAATCAAAAATAAAATTTTTAAAAAGTTGTTTATATTATGTTATATAATAATTTCATTCTTGCACTTATTTTTTATCATAGTTTATTTATATTTTTGTAATAAGATTGGCTAGTAAAAAATACTTTTCATACCTAAAACATGCATGTTCCTAATGTTTGTAAAAAACAATGCAATTCAAAATTCTTGCAAATAAATGCCGCAAATTTAAAAGAAAATTTGCAAATTGTTATTTTATGATCCACAAGCATGTGGGTCTTGTAGAGTTTGTCATATGTTTGTATAATAACCTTTTATTTATATAAATTAAATAAATTGTAAAAAAAGAATGCAACTTTTTTATTAATACTTCGTATGAAAGCCTTCTGCTCTATAAATAAAAAAATACACCTTTAAAACTAATGAAAAACTTCTCGCATGTTTCTTTAGGAATAGATTCATAAGCTGAATGTATATTCTCCTTGTGCGCGTCTTTATTTTTTGATATTAAAGAAGCAACTTTTTACTTAAAAACTGTCCAAAGTGTTTCAATTGTATTCAAGTCAGGCGATTGTGGAGGCCACAAGAACACAGATATCTTCTAATCTTCGAAACATGCCTTTGCAAGCTTCAATGTGTACTTTGGGTCATTATCTTGCTGAAAAATATCCCTCTCCATACCCATTATCCCCGCGATTTCAGAAAATTGTTCGCTAAAATATTTACATATAGTATAGTGCGCAATCTATTTTTTCATCAATGAACACCAATCTCCATGTGCTATGGTTGATCCCTTTCCGAATTTTACAGTCGGTGTTAAATTTTTTTTTTAGAAAACCTGTACCAAGCTTTCTCCATACGGTAACTTGCCCATCAGAGTAAAACATATTAAATTTATTCTCGCCTAAAAAGATTATAAACTTTATATTATTGTCAGACAAGGTCAACATCTTAGCGGAGGTTTTCTCTCCTGAGCAAAAGATGCCTTCTTGTCAAAAAAGGCTTGTTAATTATACTATACGTATATACATTATTATTATTAAGCGTGTTTTTTATGGTTGTGTGAGACATAGTCTTTTACAGATGTCGGATATCTTGTAGGTGCACTTATGCAATGACGTTTTTTGGATTTTTTATTAAAGTTTTTCTAGCTCAATAAAATCCTTATTTTCAATTAATTTAGGCTTGCCAATTTTTTTAGAGAAATAAAGGTAATATGTTTATAGTATCTTGCGGGGGTCATACTGACTGAGTTCTTGTGTACATTTAGTTTTTGAGAAATTTCAACTTGAGAGTAACCTTCCTCATGGTGTGTTACTATTTGAGACAGAGTTAAAAAAGAAAGAGTCAAGAATGAGGTTGTCATAGCTATACTATGACAATAAATTATAATTTGTTGTTTTAAAACTTAAAGTTCCAACAATCTCAAGAATCAAAATTAACTTAATTTAAAATTTTAATGGAAGGGTAAGAAAAAAAAAGAAATGGAAAACAGAAATTGTAATTATAATTTTGCTAGACAGCCCAGAGCAGAAGTGGGGCGTGCAACGTACAAGAAAAAAAAAATAAATATAATATTACTGAAATTAAAAGTATTGTTAAAAAACATTTAGAACAAGGGCGTTACTACTCCCTTGGGCAGGACAGAGGTTTATGAAATTTCTTTTTAAAACAAAATTTTTGATGAAATTTCTATTTTTAAAAAGCTGCATTATTTTTTTTTCAAAAAAATTAAAAATGTCTTGTAGGGACAATTAAAAATCTGCATTGTCGTAAAGTACTACAAATGACTGTTTTACAATGTCTTTTAATTACTAATAATTATGTATTCTAGTCTATAATTATTTTGTTTTTGAGTAATCCGAATTGCATTATTTTTTTAACAAATTGTATAAGCGACCTTTTTACTAGTAATTATAAACCGTAAAGGGCTTAACTTGTGTGTCAATCGTTATAATTATTGATCAGAAAAAAATTGAATAGTAGATTTAGACAACTCATTAACTTATATTGGTTGTACACATTTCAAACATTTTTTAAAACGAAAAACAAACAACGATATTTCAAAAATTGATTATTATAATTTTTTAAAAAATGTTCGTTTTTTAAATAACACCTATTTTCAGTATAATTTGTAGTATAATGCTTAAATCTGCTTATATACAAAGATTAAAAATTTTTAAGATTTTTGTGCTATAGATTGCAAAATAATATTTAAATTCTTTTTTTAATGCTAAAATGTAATAACTGAGAATACAATTTATTTTGGTATAAATAATTATTTAGTAATTTTATGCACAAGCTTTGAAGTGTCCCGTTCCGCAATTCAATTCTATGGGTTTCTTCATCCCAACATATTCTTCTCTATCTGCATCTACTTTAGTGCACAGCTTTCGGTGAATGTCCATAGTCAGGCTTTCAAATGTTATTTTAAGTATTCTGGATTGAATGTAAGCTTCAATTCGGCTCTCCAGCTTTAGCTCATTTCTATGTTGTCGGTGATATTAGTAACCACACCATCCCACGTGACCACATACGGAATAATAATTGATTTATATTTGTACATAGAAGCTTCATGGTTTGCTAAGAGGCCACACTTGTGCTTCTTTTCTATTCTGCTGTTCTTAGATTATCAAGTCTAGTAATCACAATCTTTACAACTATTATCCTTTTCCTTATTTTGTCTATTATATATATATCAGGCTTATTTACTTGACCTTGGTTATACTCTGAATCCTGGTGTCGATCTTCGTTTTTATGTCTTTAGTGGCAATACATGTTTCCACCAAATGATTCCCTATCTTTATACTTTTTGTCAGGCCTTAAGTGCGACAAATTTGTAGATGGATGCACTTCAATATCTTGTCATGCCTTCGCATTTAATCATGTGCAAACACTTGCTCGCACTAAATTGTCATGTGATCGATTGTTTTTACTTTCTCATTACAATGGGGACACATTGCATTCTTTTAAAAAAAATGTTTCTGTCTTGGAGCCCGTATAGTGCTGCTTCTTCTCTAGATGTGGTATTATTTTTTGTGAAACATAGCGAAAAATCATTTACACTAATTAAGATGTCTTCTCAATTTCTATATAGTTTTATGTGGTAAGTTTTGTATTTAACATCACTATATAATGTTGACCTTAAAACTTCTTCGAATTTTTCCCGGGGGGCTTCGTTTTCCAGCTTATATTTAAACTTTAGAAAAGTCTTAATTTTAGATAGGTGTGTGTTACTATCTTTCTCTGCTTAAAGTATAGCTTGTCTCCTCATTATAAATTCTCTTGTGTTGGCTAAAGCCGTAAATAATTGTAATAACATTTTTTCGCTTCTAAATTCTATATTTTTTAGATCTCTTCCTGGCTTATTTCTTCGTAAATGTAAAAACAGCTATTCCTTACAGGCTGGTCGGTGGAGTATGAGATGTTTTATTAAAATTCATGATTTTATCATCTAACACTTTATATTCGTTGGGCTCCATTTATTTTACCTACAGAATAGATAATCAATGAGATACTATATTCATTAATCGCCTTAAAAAATTTTTAAAGTTCAGTCTTTTCACTATAGCGTCATAAATCCTTTTTTGCTTTCTCCAATCATTTTACCTATTAAGTATTCAATGTTATCTATGTACTTATATATCGTGTGCGATTATAAGGGTTTAATGTTGTCCTTACATATCTCGGCATTCGTAACAGATTTTTTAAATTCAACTCCAGTCCAACCACCTAGAGAAATTCTTGTGCTTCTATCATCATTTCATTTAATGCTTCTTCCTTTTTAGCTAATAGTTTTAGATTTTCGATGAATAGAAGACGGTTGCATGCGGATACTTCATTTCCGGTCTCGACCTCCACCTTCAGGTGTATATTCATTTATGCTTCTTACTCAGCGAATTCGTGCACAACACAAAAGAAGTGGAGATAAGCCCCCCCCTTATAGAATTCCTCCGTCAACTTTCTTATTTAAATAGCTTCTTTTCCAACTTTTATTTCAAGAGTCCATTTTCTTAACAGGGTTTTAATCAAGCGAATAATTTATTCTGGTATTGATAAACTTTTCATGCACACGTTGAGGTACGTGTGTGTTACTGAATCATACGTTTTCTTAACATCTACCCACGCCGTCTTAAGTTTGTAATCGTGATGTTTATTAAGAATTATATTCGTGAGCGCTTTTTTCTTAGTATTCTGCGCTCTCTCCTGACTGTTCTCATTTGATTTTCACGCAATAGTAATTTTGCCTCTCCAATACTCCGCAGCGCGTGCTTTGCCAAATTCGTTGTTAGCTTATATAAATTCGACATACGGGTAATTAAACAATAGTCTTTTTCAGATATGGAAGTTCCTTTCAGTATCAAATATGTGATACCTTTGTAAAACAACTCTTTTTCTTTTCTTTCAAGACATATGTTTTTCACGTGCATACAGTTCTCCTTGTATCGTGTCTATCCTTATCAAAAGAAAGTCAAATATTCTAATGACCCAGCCACTTTTTACCTAAGCAGTCTCTTTATTATAGCTAGAAATTCTTCTTCCGTGGAAAATAAAAGGTCACCCTCAATTTTTAAATTATAGTTCAGTGGGTGATCTGCATACATATTCTCTCTTCTTTCTTCAGTTTCTTTTCAAATTTTTAACCCGAATTCTTAAATTTCTTCACGCTTTAGTCTCTCATTCGTTGCTTCTTCTGGCTCATTAACATCTTTTTAAAGGTCTCTGTAGAATCGAACTAAATATAACTTAAATTTGCTATTCTCTTTTCTAGATAGTCTTCTTCTTTAATGATCTTGTATTTTCTCCTGTGTATCATTATTCTTTCATTTATGTACATGACCATTTTCTCAACACCTTTGAGTTTATTATGTATCAAATTTGGTTATCTAAACTACTTCTGGAATTCTTCAATTTCCTGTTCACTGATTTTTTGATTATTTTCCTATACTTATTAATAAGGTCGTTTAATTTATTAAAGTCCTCTATTATTTCGCAATATTCTCTTTCCATATGCTTTTCTTGGCCTCTTTTGTTATTATTTCTTGGTAGCATATCTGAGATACTTGTAGCAGTTTAGCCACATCTTTCATAAAATATTGTTGATTACATTATCAACTGCATTGTTTATTGAGTTAATGACGTTTATGTCCACTTTTGTTAGGCATATTTTTCTTTTAATTCAATTTTACTTTTTCTTTATTTTTTATCAATAACACTTTTACTAACTTTGTTTTCTTCCTGTATGGGGTAAAAAATATTAAAAATTTATACAATAATGTACAACATTATTTTACCTCGACATCTTTAATATGATTCCAAACTTTTTAAATTGTTTTTCCACTTCATTCTGCTTGATAATATCCTTGTAAGATACCAGTCTTGCTATTTCATCAAGGGTCTACATCCTCTTGACGTAAATCTTTAGTTTGTATTCTCTTACTATAGTGAGACTTTCTGCCTCGTTTATCACCACCTTTGTTGATCTTTTCTTCATCATCAGATTGACATCTACTCTTAAACTTCTTCCCATAGAAATCTTTTATGTTATCCCAGCCTCCTCTCGACATCTGTTTCCATATACTTAACATGGCTTGGTAGGGTGTCCTTTGGCCACTCTTCCATTTTAGCTTCTAGTTAACTCAGAATGGCATTGAGAGATGCTAGTTTGTTGGCCTTTTGGGGGCCCATATTTTTTTTAGCAGACAGAACTTTATCCAAATCGTGTTTTATTTAATCGGTTGGAGTTTCTGTAGTTATTTTGTTAATTTTTGTTTCAGCTCTCGTTTTCTTTTTTTTACCCATATTTAACTGATTTGATAAAATAGTAATCTTGGTGTATCCGAAAAAATAGTGTCATAAAGTAAAAAATAAATATTTTTAAGAGCAATGATTTAAAAACGCATAAAATATAAATAAAGGATAAAAACAGAAACCTTTTTCTTATATAAAGTATTTTATTGGTTAGATTGT